CTTTTCGATGGCTTCCAGGAGCATTTCTGGAAACGCAAGAATTCGATCTGGTCGCCCTTGCCCAGTAAGCACCAAATCGTTTCGATAATTGCTGCTCTACAGGGAAAGTATGAGGAGTTCTCAATGCTCGATAAGACCAAGAAGTTCAACGTTATCGGGACCCAAGCCCTCGGCATGATTTTCGGGGCTTTCCTAGGAGCCTCCGCCGCGATCGCATGCGGTTTTCTTGTCAGCAAAAACTTACTTCCTCAGATCGAACAAATGTCCAGAGACTTTTGAGCCGCCTCGAGGAATTCTGCGGCTTCTGGCAGGGGCCTAAAAAGTTCGCGATGACCGTCAGGATCCCTGCGCTGCTCCGGGCTTAACGAAGAAACGAACAATGCAAGCCGGAGTAAGAGTGAAAGAACGGAGTGCTCCTTCGAGACAGCCAACGATTTCTTCGAGATTTCACCCGTAAAGTCCGCAGGACAAGCGCTCTCGAGGATGAAACTCTCCATTGATGAATGCTCCATCTTGGAATGATGCGAATAACGACTCTGAAATATTGAACCTCCATGAATCGAGCTCCAGCTTCAGCCGACTGATCGGGTCGAGTCGAAGTTCCCCAGAGAAACTTACGTGGAGGATTTTGCGATTTAGAGGAGCTTCTGTCGATGCCATAAATATGGAGCTCGGTTTATCAGAGGTGTCCCGCTTCGAGATCGCTTGTGAGGGAGCCCTCTCCGAAATTCCAGATACGACGGGCTTACAGATAGGTCCGCGAAACATGAGAGGTCTCTACGACTATTTTCGAGCTCGCCATGAGTGCGATGGATCGATTCCCATGCGTCTAAACCTTCTCCGTGATGCAGACCCAAAGCAGGGAGTTTGTAGGTCGACTCTGTGTGCTTTAACCAAAGTAGACGAAAATGGAATTAGGACGCGTCGCTCACAACCTCATCGTGAAGAAAACAAGAAGGCTCGGTGACAATATTCTTCGAAGAATAGATCCACGATGGTGGCTCTGAGTGAGCGGAGATAGAATGGAATGCGATTCCCCGTCGAAGTCCCCGGGTTTCTAGCATGGAATCTAAACGGAATCTCTTACCGCGAGCAGCATCTGATGGAATCAAGCGAACTCCTCCAGGTGGCATTTGCTGGAACACGACCTCGTGAGCTTTCTCTAGGTTGCCGGATCGCTTCGCTCCACCGGCGTTGAAAATATTGTGGAAATACGAAGCCCGGGTCGTGAGGACGAAACTTGATCGGGCTCAATCAATCTTTGCACATGGGAATCAAATGTTACATCGAAGGCTCTTGATCTGACGGGTCGAAGAAATCCACTGGTATCGAAATCCAAGGTCTAGATATGACTTCTCAGGGCTCAGGGGTTTATGCGGACCGGAATCGCAATCCGACCCGCTTTCGCTCTCGTTATTGCATGCGTAGTATGCCGTGGAGTATCGAGGCTTGCCTCCGGTGTCATTGGAGCATCTCCCTGGTCTTCGAAATCTCGAACCCGAGCACGGTCACCAGAACTGTGTTTCTCCCGCTCGGAGACCAACGGGAAATGATGACAATTCGAGCGAAGAGCTTGACAAAGTATCAGTTTTATTGATGCCTGGAGACTGGGTGTAGTCGCCGCTCTAGGCGAGAACCTTTGACCTCTCTTCCTCCAGCTACATCTGTGTGGGCCTATAGATAGCCCACCCGTGGCACGCTCGCCGCATCTCGAAGCCGCGACGGTCAACTTCCATCGAATAACTTCTCCCGCTTTCTTCGCTCATAATGGTTCCGGTGGTTTTATCCTTTTGTAGGCGAACGATCATTCCCGCTTGTACTCCTCGTCGGGTTCGAATACGAGTACAATTTCTGAGAAGAGAAACAAACTGATAATCCAGCACCTCTAAATCCTTGCAACTCCAGCACCGAGGAGGTCCACGACTACTCGGAGCGTTCAGAATAGAAAGCACTCGGCATGCCGGAGGCGCTCCGCTATAGCTGATTTCTAGTTGCATCAAATATTTTGACCTCTCAACATGGAGTGCGACCGAAAATATCGGTTCAGACTGCAGAATGATTGCTGCAGACGCTAGAAGAGCGTTGAGGACAATCGCATTAGATGAGATTCTCCTGCACATTCCCCCTGCTTGAGAGTTCAGAATGAGCCACGTGACGAGAGCTCTCCGGCCGCGAGGCCCCGCATCATCGGCGCTCTGCACCAGCGTTCTATGCTAAACATCTCGACGGAAGGACAATCTCTGATGAAAGCTTAACATCAATCGATCCAGACCGTCAAAGGAGTTCTCTTTCAGCTTGTGACCGGTCCATTGTTGGGAAGACCAGACATCTTTCCGTGCGATGTTGTCTACGGCCCATAACTGCGTCTGCCTCTGGTTCATCGTGGTGACGCGCAGCTCAAGCTCAATGGATCCCTTCAAAATTACCGGGAATCGCAGGAGCTCGGGCGATGTCATCAAAGAAATCAGTCACGCGACTTGTTCGCAAACTTCGAACGACCCGAGAACAACTTCCATATTCGTACTCCATGTGAGACCTGATCAGGGGCTATCGCTCAATGATATGTTGAGTTTGCCGAACAGCCTCATCCTTCTATCTGAAGAGTACTTCCCCCTCAAGCCAGGCGACGGAGAAATCGTGATTTCCTGGAGTGGAAGAATGAAGTGTTCAGGAACTGGACTCGCAATGACCCTTGCGGTTTCCGTGCTTGTGGCCAGGCTTTCGCGAACATTGCGCATTTTCATCAAGAACGGCGTGTTTTGATCGAAGTTGTAGAGTTGGCGACCGCAGATCGAGGCAGGGGGCAAACACGTCAGGGTAATCAGGTCATGTCGAGCTAGATATGGCTTGGAGCATTTTCCGGCGGAGAAGAACGTCCTCCAATCACAGCGAGTCAATACGGCTCGGACTCCACGGGGTGCTGATTCTCAATCCGAGCAAGAGAGGGATGATTGAGTTCGATCGATGTGACTCTGTGAGTGTTCGCACTGCGCATCGTGGATGGATGTTCTCTTCGAGAGAATATAATCATACTTAGCTCACGCACGTCGATCGCAAGTAGCTGGGTGACTCTCATCCGTGATTCGATTCCCTTTGCAGAACAATAAATTATTCCTCTTCACATAGAGCTACGCCCCCGTCCGCTTGGCAGTTCCTCTACCGAGACGGGTGCGGCTCATCTCGAACCTGCCGCGATACCTCGCCATCGAGCTACCCGTCTCGATCAATTCAGTTATTTCGCTCCCGATTGTTCTGTCCTTCCGTCACCACCGCTCTTTACTGCCGACGTCGTCGACTTGGGAGACTTCTTACAATTCCGCGGCATCCGAGGCAGATCGTTGATCCCCACCCTCAATCAAGGAATTATCATCCTGCTCAGCTCTGGGCTGGCCTCTCTGTCGATCCAAGTCCCGCTAAATTGCTGAAAGGCGAAGTTGTATCTATCCCTTACGAACGAATGATCCACTCCTCCAAATGTTCCGTCATGTCCTGCCAGTCGATTACTCTCGGTCACCGTCCGCTTTGGCTATTCGGAACGAATAGTACCGCCGAGTTCACCGTCCTCGGGCTCGCACAGGACAACAGACTAACAGGACAACAGTTGTTCCGGAAAATCTCGCCAAGGAATGCTCGAACATGTCCGTACTGACGAGCGTAACGCATGATTGGACTCGGCAAGTGTCTCTCCTCCAATACCACACTCTGTGCCTCTGTGCAAGGAGCCGGAACTTTTGAAAATCCAATTGATGATGTGGGACGGTGAATTGGTTTTCGAGTACATCGCCGATGGTTCCCATGTCGAATCTATTTGCTCTCTCGGCCGGAGCACAGCTTTCCAGATCGGTTTTGAGAAGAATTTCCGACTGACGAGGATAATTCTTGAGCACTGCCTCCTGAAATATACTCATACCATCGCTCCATTGCGTCCAACCGATGCGCTACATATGGCTTTCTGGCACAGTAAAGGGGTGTTCAGCAAGTTCACAAGTTAACGAATCGACTCAAGGGCAGAATCGCCTCGGCCATCGCCGTGCTCCGGGACAGGTATTCGGAGCTTTCCATGTTTGACAAGACGCGGAAATCTCGAGTGATCTGGATATCGGCTCTCGAGTCGGTGTTCATGTTGCTCTTCGGTGTCTCATTCTCCGCTGCGATCCGTCCTCTTCTATCAGAGGAAGCTCGGTGAAGCGTCATAATTATACTCATCATGCTCCCTTTCCGTTCACACCTTATAGCGTGCGGAACGATTCGAATCTTGTGCCATGGCTCCGAAGGGCAGCCTGCATGCGTGCCTGCCTGCCTGCCCCGCGGTATGGATGAAGTTGACGGCGCTGAAAACACGAGAAAGCCATGCAGGCAATGAGCCAGCGAGGGATCATTTCTTGCTCAAAAACTTCCGGAAGTCCGCATCCTCCCGTTTGGCTGATCGGAGGGTTTCGAGTCCTAGAACCTCTCCACTACCGTCGACTGAGTGAGAAGGTCTTGGAAATTAGTTCTGCGACCGATGGAGATCAGGGAGACGGATCATCCGGAGAATGCAATTCTCACCATCAGCTGAAATCGTCAATGGCAGTCGGTCGCTCTTCATAACTGTCGCAGGCAAGCAGTAGCTATGCGCGGTTCAAACAAGGGTCTCCGCCGCATATCGATTATTCGTTGACCGGAACGAGATTCATGTAGAAGACATGCTCCTCGCCTAGAGTCTGGAAACTTCTGTTACATACCGTCTCATGAAAACAGCAGACTCTTCCCTCGAGACGAACGACTGCACTTCTCTTCTTCCTCAAACAGCACGGCCTCCGGCGCGACAGTCGTGATCTTTTCGGAATCTGTCATGGAACGCCAACCCTTCCCCATATTGTAGCTCCTTGATTCCTCGCCGCAATGCCCTCGAATAGAAACGGAAGAAGCGGAACCGACTACTTATTATCAACCATTTATTATTGGATACCAAATCCCGTTCTGCTTAGCGAGAAGGGACCGGGGTTTTCCATGAATTCGCTCCCACTGAGCAGAACGAGCCGCGTACAATTAAAAATGAGTGAACATTCTGTAGAAGATTCCTCTTCGACAGATTGATTGTTGATTGATCTGTTCACTCACGCCTCGAACATCAACCCACAATTTCCATCGGAGACTAGCACAACGCGCAAGATATATCTCTCAACGGAATATTATTCGACAAGGGATTGTCCAATACCACGCTTTAAGCGACCGTCTTGGCTTTTCCTCACTAAGTTTGCCCTAGTTTTCTTTGAGAATAGGTACATTTACCATCTGAAAATATTTTGGCCAGAGTTCTGGCAACGCTAACATTTTAAAAGTTGTACTGCAGTCGACAACGAGACGTCTATCTCGCGTCGTGTAAACACGGAAATCAATTACCTATATTCCGAATGACCTTTCCGCAAATATCAGTGTTCGTATTTACATTCATGACCGGTAGTATATTGAACAAGTATCATTTGATTATCCATTCTCGATATTTATTGTTGGGGTAAGTACAAATGGAGAGAGTGGCGACGAACAATGAAACGAACAACGGCGGCGCAAATCACCGCCACCCAAAAGCGGTATCAACAATTCGCTCGCCACTCATCCTGCGGCAATCTATTTGCAACAAACTTTGGCGGATTTTTCAGGAAATCGAAATTCAACCTGAAATCAGTACACTTCTCGAGCCGTCTAGCAACTTGCCGGAGCTTCTTTTCCAACATCTGTGATTTGTACTTTTCGGCGTTAAGCTCCATCCTTAACTGTGCATTGGATTTTTCGGTGGATGGCACGAAATCTGGATTGCAAACTAGTTGATGAGCGGACGGCCGCAGACTGGGATCGGGATGGCACATTTTTCGCAGGATATTGTTGAATTCATCACTGAATTTCGGTATGGGATCAAGTTCGCCACGACGAAGCTTCTGCCAGTCGTCTCCGTTCTTAGGTAGCGTGATACCGTGGCCCAGTTCATACAGTGTGAGACCCAAGCTGAAGATATCGGCCTTCTGAAGGTTCGAGTAGTCATCTCTCAACAATTCCGGGGCCATGTACCGACAATCGCCTTCCTCGACTTCAGGGTGCAGAATTGAAGTGACTAGACCTAGATCTCCAATTTTGTACGTGATGTTTTCCCCGGCATCGTCATCTTCGAAACCGTCGTCTTCTGAACAAGCTTCCTTTCTGTAATAGAGGGGGAATATGAATATTTGGCATTCGGAACCTGCGATGAAAGTCGGAAGAGGATCTCTTAGACGCTCCGACTTGTTCAATTCATTGGTAACCGGGAGCGGAGTTGAACTTACTTTGATATGAAAATATTCCCGGGCTTGATATCCATATGAACCAGGTTTTGATTATGGATGAACTTAAGCCCATTAGCTACGTGCAGTCCCAATCTTCTCAATTGAGCTTCGCTCATCGGAATGCCGGTTCTTTGACGCTGGAAATCAGATACGAAATTTCAGGTTAAGTGCTTTGGGGAAATGATCGCATAAAGCTTCATAAATGGATCGAGATCTATAACGACTCTGAAGAAACGCTCACCTCCTGTAAGCTGCCTCCGTTACAGAACTCGTTTTGAATAATCATGTGATTGAGCTCTGCCCACGCTGAATAGTATCGAACGACATGAGTGTTCGCTCCGAGCACCGCGTGAGCCCAAACTTCGGTGAGTGAGGCTTTTTCCGCCGCACTCCCCTGCATCGGCTTCTTGAGCTTTTTTATCGCGTAAACACAGCCATCCAATCGGTGGATACACTTGAAAACCGCGCCGAACTCGCCACTGCCGATTTGTTCGAGTTCGAGGAATTCTTGTTCATATCTGGAAGCGATTGATCGGACATTAGTCAGAGACGCTACTCGTTGGCGAGCTCAGAGATTTCGATTATGATCTGAGCGAATTGATTTAATATGCTCTCCTGTGCAGTCGTATGAAGGGTACAGAAAAGTTGCTTACCTCGAGTACGCCTCATCGTTCGGGGAGAGATACATTCGCTGGACTTTGGCTTGACGATCGAGTTCCTCGATACCACAGATGGAAAAGTTGCAGCCGAGCTCGTAATTATTATTGTTACTCGTATTATTATTATTGTTGTTATTTACGCTGGAAAGAGAAACGAAACAAATGTTAGTCACGAGTGTTCCCGGAGTAGTGCCGTTCGGCTATCCCCCAACCAGAATTATTGGTCCAAGTCGCGTCCAGAGTAACGGCACCGCCTTCAGGTATGCAACTGCGATGCGCAGTCGAAATATTCAAAACCCTGTGTCCCGTTGCACAGCGCCCTGGTGAGCTCCGAGTGGAGCATAAAAATCCTTCTAAAAACCCATCTGGACATGCATCGCTTGAGGGGCTCGCATTGGCCGTATCGCCGGCAGGACAACCCAGACTAGCGGCTCATGAGTTTTAAAAGTTCGACAGAAACTCTCGAAATTCGCATTCTCTCGGAGGATACTCGGAACGCTCTGAGGAAAAACTTCACGGATCGATCAAGTAATTGCGTCTCTTACGGAATTATTCCGAGAAACATTCTTTTGTAGCATTCGAAATGTCCCTCCGTGGAGCTTCTATATTCGAAATCGTGGGCAACTTCCACTTGAGATGCGTTGAGTCGGAAGCGTCGCAGAGCAGTCGACAACCAGATGGATCTTTGATTTGCTGTTGAAATACAATGTGTCTACAGAGCAGATCTGGGACCGTTACGGCCGAGTACGGATGCCGCTGCGAACGAGTGTGCACAGCTCCCGGTGTTCGAGGAGAACCAGTTTTTAACGGTCCCTCCTCTGGGGCCCCTCGTTCTGGCACTCCAACCTCGGAGTCTGGCTCCGAGCAGTACCCGATTGACATTTAAATTTAGAAAACGAGGCTCACTCTGGCCTCGCTTGGTCTGAATTCGCTAGTCACGATATCTTCCCGGTGCGATTAATCAATTCAATCTCGCTCGGTAGACAATGTGAATAGCTGGCGAGTGCCCAGAACCCTCGCACCCTTCGGGACGCGTCGTAGGCTGCGACGGTCTCCCGGGGTGAACTTGCAGCAGTCCACTCGAAGGACCTTCTCAGGCACAATAGTCAGCAGCAGCAGCAGCAGCCGAAATTCGGAATCGACCTATCGACCCTTTTTAGCGGGAACCGATGCCGCTACGGGCGTCACCACGTCTCCAGGCCAGGTGTAGAAAGACACTCACAGGAAATCAACGTGAGCCGTGGAGACAAGGGTGATGATTCGACGCTTATGCAAACTTCGGCTGCTTATAATCCGAGCAAATCCAGTCTACCCTCTTTTCTCTGTTTTGGTTTTTATCGATATCTTATCGGCGGAGAGACACCGTTTATTTCCATGCCGATTGGACCCTCCAAACATTTTTCTTCGCTCTCGGTATGACTGCGGAGAGAATTCGGAAACATTCGCCATAGGCAACCCGTTATCTCTCAATACAGTTGCCCGCAGCACCATTGGCACGGAACGCTGTGTCATCAACTGCCGAAAACCGCCAAGGTTGCGAAAGCCGTTGTCGCGCACGGCTTCTGTTTTGTGCATTCGATTTCAGTGTTTGAAAATTGAGGCTTCCCTCGGCCGAAACGGCGACAGTCCGGCCGGCGAGGAAATCCTTTTCACGTAACAGACCGCCTTTCCATCCGCCTCGTGAAGTGAAGAATACCGTGCCAGACGGCTTGAAATCCGCATGATTTCACTCGAGATAAATGTTACTGTTTGAGGATGCTCAGCTTGGAACCTCGAGATAAATGATTCCTGTTCATTCTTGAGGCATCTGAACTTCCGCGAGAAGCAGCTTGACCGACTGCGTGAGCCGGTCGGAAGGAACGCGAACCCCGTTCCGATTTTCTGAGAAACCGCTATCGGTGAGAGAGGATCAGTTGTGAATCTCGCTTGTCACCAGGGCAGGTGGTGGGGCAGTTGTGTTTACAATAGCTCCAAGAAAAAAAGCTCGACGTCGACAAACTTGAAAGGAACGCTCGCTTCTCTCCTATCTAGATTAGCATCTGGAGACACACAGTCCGACTAACTGACCGAACCCTTAATTCAGCGGTTCGTCTGGTGAGTCGATAGTCAGAGGCTATTTTTTTCACGTCAACTTTCGGCGCACGACACCACGTTCCCGTGTGCCGCTTGTGTTGCCGCGCGTGCACTGCAGCTGCCGCTACTGAAGCGTACAAAGCGGAGCATATGTTATGGGCAATGTTGGCTGACGCTTCGTACCGTGCTTCCCGATCTATCGATCCACCCCAGGGACATGGAATGAGGCCGAAAAATCCATTCAGCTTGTTTTCACAAGCTCCGCCGATAGTAGAAAAGCTCTATTCTGTAGAACAGCTATAGACGATTTCCGATCAGATCTCAGATCGAATATTATCCCAGAGAATGATCCAACTCGGAGTAACCCTTCGGAAAATCAAGCTCTCCCGAGTGATTTTTGAAGCCATTTTTCTCTCTCCTCGTCCCTCCTCAAAGTCCAAGGGTCCAAGACATCGTAGCCTTGAGACTCGGGTGGTTCGAGGAGACACCGAACCCCAACGAAGACATCGACTCCTCGGCTAGAGAGAATTCGTTCTCACGATAAGCGCTAGAGAGGCTCCCGACGCCCACTGCAAACGAGTGGAGGCAGAAAACTTGAGCAAGCTCAGAATAAAAATCTTGCAAATCATTCGGACAGCATCTTCTTAGCGCAGGCTGCAGCGTCGGTGGTGCCCCACACTGCCTGTATTGAATCGGCATACTGCATTGTATCAGCGTGGCGAGCAACACTGGCGCGTATTGTTGACTGCCAGGGGGACAGATGTGTCAGAATTAAGCGGCATTGAACCGAGCCAGCAGCCTGCTAGCTAGCGTTAGTTTGACGCTGGCCCCCTCATGTTAGGCCGTCGCTAGGCGATAGTGGAGCGTCGGAATGGAAGCCTCAATTCAACTAGAAAGCCATCTCTAAACTGGTGAGCCGTACTCGGTCGACCGGGACCGCCCCGAACGAGTTGTTTAGCTCCTCCAACACTTTGGGAAGGATAGATCCCCTCTGCAGAGACCGGCGGTTCTCGTTCCAGCGCCAGAATCGGGCGAAAATACACCCTGGAGGCATTGCCGAGAAGCTATTTTCCGTCAGTCAGCTGTTTCGTACTTCGCCGGGGGAAATAAGTTGAGAGAGAATAGACGCCGCAGGATGACCAGGCTTATTCGTCCTTAGTCATCTTAACCGATTTCTCGACCATCTGCTGAACCAGGACCGGAAGGTTCTCATGACGAAAGCCAGTGTGACCTCGAAGTGCATTGTTTGTTCGCTCGCTCGGTCGCTCTGAGTCTCTCGTCTGGTACCTCGCTCGCTACTACTCCGGAGACCTCACCCAGATGAGGATCTACCGACGGAGTCTACCGAGAACACCGAGCCGGCTGCGCTTGCGAAGAACAACAGCTCTAACGGACATTTAACTCACAACATGCCGACACAAGTCTCACCGGAGTCACAGGATATTTAAACGCAAAGCAGACTCGATGTCCTCCTGCCGCAGTCCGCAGCGCCGTGAGTTCACAGCATTGCTAGAGCGCTACCTACTACGAGATCAAGCTCTAGGTCGTCGAGGAAGAGTTACGAAGAAAAACAATATTCTGCTTCCTCATCTCTCGCTCGAGACAAATGGAGTTCGTGTGAACCGAACGATACGACTTCAAAGACGACATCGGAAATGACCTTTCACCCCGGGGGTCGCGTGAAGACGAAACGAACTGCGGATACAGCTGATCTGGAGGGGCCAGCCAACACTCTCACACAGAGTAACTCACACTCGTCAGAATATTACAGACCCTCACACAGAAGTACAAATACAAATGTACATGTCTCTCACGGAATGATCATTTCGCCGAGATGACCACTGGACGACGTTCAGCTGGAGGCCTCTCGATACGAGCGACAATCTTCACAGTGACTCGGAACCGTCAATTATATCAACCACAAAGCCCAGTGAGATCAAACACGCGCTTCGAGCAGGGCACCGAGATGCGGCTCATGAACTCCGTCAGGCATTCTCATGAATGGCTTCCGAAAATTCCACATGACGATGAGCGCTTCTCAGTCATAGGTCAGTGCGACAACTCCGGTGGGGCGACATTTCTCTGAGTTTCCATAATGTACGATCGTATCTCCGTAGAGACATTCGCCAGCATTGCGGAACTCTCACGGAGGGTATCCCCTCTGTTCCGACCAGATCGCCGGAGATCTAACAAACGAAAAACGGAATATTCGGAATGATTATCTCGAGGCGCTATTGTCTGTCGACGCGTACGGAACTCGCGGGAGGGTCTATTACCAGCCAGAGAGCAGGCATAACGGAGAAAGGGGAAAGAATTCGGAGCATCATAAAAAGGTCAACGGCTTGGAGCTGATTGAGCAACGTGAGGATTTATTATTTCGACTTGAAACTTCGGAGAATGTTTGCTTTGAGCCACGTCTCGAGAACAAGTGGAATTTTAAAGCGTCTTCTCGACGTCGATTCCTTTCTTGGAGATTCCTCCGTTACTGACAGCACCGAACACTTGAATGATGACAAAAGCGAGCCGGACAATAAGTACGGGGGACGGCGGCGCGCGGAGAGCAACTTCGAACAAGACAAAAGAGAGCTTTAAAAACCCCCGAACGATAGTTGCCTAACAAGAGGGCGAAGATTTGACTTTGGCCCCAGCGTCGCGTGGTCTGTCCATCGCCCACCTGACGTTCGACCAGAGCGTGGCCAGTCTACCGGGCGGCGACCGGTCGATCCGCGGTCCGTTCGCTCAGGCTCTCTCTCTCTCTCGCTCTTGCTTCTGCCCCGATAGGTTCGATGATCTGGATCCATACATACAAGCATACGTACGCCATATGGCGTCTCCCGTTTTTTTTCAACGTCGTTGGCTGTAATTTAGTAGCAATTTTCTCTCCTATTGCTATCATCATCGCCATCAGAGAAAAAGAGAGAACAGAAAGCCAATTCTTTCTTCGAGTAGGAGAAGCTATGAACTCGGCGGCAGCCCAGCGAGCATTCACTCGAAACGGGTTTTCCGCCCCTAAAGGTGCTTCAGAAATATTCGAAACCCCTCGGT